GACAGTCAGTACTAAAGTGAATCTGTAATTGGATAAAAAACGAAAGTCTACATTTGCCTGCCAAGATTCACGTTTAGAACAAAAGATTCTTAGTCAATTTTACGTCAGATGTTTTAAATGGAAAATTATATCAACAAATAACAGATTGAGATAGCAGCAGGTTATTAAGAAATTTTACTTCAATTACCTAATCTACCAGTAAAAAATTTCTAACAGACATGCTCACTCTTATGCGATTTTAAACATTTTTCTTAAATATATTAAAAATGTTAATAATTTTAATGTGCATATTTGTTACTTTTCCTTTTAAAATAACATACAAAAACACATATCATATACTTACACAGTAAAGTTGTAAAGGAATTACATATAAAAGTGTGGACATAAAAACCCATGAAATACATCTAATATACAGTCCCTTTCTTAGTATTTTAAACAGAACTGCATTACAGTATACTACTTCTTGCCATTTTATTATTTTAAATTTACAAAAGAAAGAAAAACTCATTTTTTAGTTATATTGCTAATGAAATAATATTACAAGCAGGTTTACTAAAATGATGTTACTTGGTTTATGTCCTACGAACCTCTCCCAAAATTTCAAAACATTTTCTTTTTCCTTTTATAAAAATAACATATTCCTATCACAAAGTACATAGGCTAAGTGTTTTACTCACTGATATTCCAACCCTGGATGCCTATTCTATGATCACTGGATCTGTCTACAACTTGAGCGAACAACATTGACAAAAAAACCGGTATGGACAGCCATCACAACTTATCGGAGAAGAAAGTCATTCTGTGGTCCTCAGTTGGTGGGCGGGTGAGTCCATTTGACTTTACTGAAAGGTGACAAGGCTTCAAGGAGCTTTAGACCAATCGCAGCACACACGAGTGACAAAATTCATAGCGCGCGCTGGCTGAAGTTCTAGGAATATTCTCCCATTATTTCACTAACTCATACGTTGCTCTAGGAATATTCTCCCATTATTTTAATAACTCATACGTTGCATTTGTAGTTCCAAAAAAAATTGCACAAAAGAGTATTATGACCAACACGCAGCAGAATATGCTGCTGTGTTATGTGAAGGAAAATCCCGTTTTTTAAGGGGAAAGTTAACTCAGGAATTTAGAGCTAAGAAATAAAAAGTGATATGGGATACCACAAAAGCAACGGTAAATAGATAAGAGTAAATGAATTAAGCTTATCTCAAATCCTTTTAGAAAGAAACACTTTTAATCATTTAAATTTATAATATGATTAATTTGCATTACAATCTAATAGCAAACTAAGTTTTTTTTTTTTTTTTTTTCCTTCACCCATGCTTACATTTACAATTGTTTCACGCAATTATTTTTACAGTTAATAATTAGAAAAATATTTCTTAAGTAAGAAATTAGAAAGAAAATATTTCTTTCTTAATTTTTCTTTCCTTTTTTATTTTCTTTTTCTTTTTCTTTTCTATGAAAATTATTTCTTTCAGGAAAAGAAATAAAATTCATTCGCTGTTACAGTATCGCTGAATTGCTGCTGCATTCAGTATCACATACGCATCAAATGTTTTATTTTAAATAATTTATTCTATAATTAATATTAAAGAACAATATTTTTTCAATATAAAATGTATATACCAAAATTATCTAATCTATCCTGTATGTGTGTTTAATTACGTTTTGCAATTTTTGTCATACAATTACTAATACACTTTTTTTAATATTACATTGCTGTTATTTGAATTTTTTTATATATATAAGAACTGCTTGTTTTAAATATTCTTCTATCTCAAAAGATTTATTCTGTGAAAATAATTAAAAGATAGTAATATTATTTTCACAATGCAAGTACTAAGTAAAAATAACCATTGTAGGTTCTCCTGCAGTTGAAGTCCTTGTCAAAACCAGCGTTTTCGAACAATTTTAAATAGAAAACTAATAATAATCAATATCTCTTTTACAATATAAAAATGAGAACTATGCTATGAACAGTATTCTTTTTTTAAGTTTGCAAAGAAACAATGATTTTTTAATACTAATAGATTACAAAAGTACTATTCCATGATCAAACCCTCAGTCTTATAGCATTGTTACTTTATAGCATAATACAATAATAATGCAATATAATTCTGTTAACAAACCCACCAGCGCCCGAGTGGTAGAATCGCTGAACGCAGGTAGTTTGGTCCGAGGTTTGAATCCCGCGAACGAGCTGGCCGCATCGCCGTTTTCGTGGCTTTCCCCATGTGTAACGTGTATATGAGCCAGTTTCCCTTACAAAGTCCTCCCTTAGAAACCAGTTTTAAAACGTTATAAAATTACACACACACAAAAAAAAAAAAAAAAAGCCTTCAAATTTTTTATTACTCCCAAAGGGCCATATTTTTAGCATTTTGTGTGTTACCTTTATTTATTAAATATCATGTTCTTCGCACCTAAACCATAAAATTCAATTCAAAAGCAATACCATATAATTTTAAAAAAGCATATCTTTAGAATTTCCGATACATAGTCTCGAGCACTAGAGATGAAAATGTTTTCTTCCTCTTTTTTTTTTTCCGTACAATGTTGCCATTGCTCGCTTTAAAATTGTTGGGTTTCTTAATCAAAAACTCATAAATGCTTTACAAAATATGAATTAGATAATAAAACAAATTCCCAGTTCCGAATTTGGGCCTCCAGATGCCTATATTAGGATATAGGATTACGTTATTCAGAATTTCATGGCTCTAGGTACCGTTGCTTTTATCACAGTACGAGAAACATTCATACATTTATGCAGATTCCTCATTATTTAATCTCTTTAAATATAATACAGTGCGATAATACTTGGTGGAAACGAGTTGAAAAGTGAAACGCCATTTATCGTGAAACGTCACAAAATGGCAAAACGAAATTAATAAATTAATAGTCCCTCTGAGCTAAAACTTATTCTGAAAAGTATCACACTAGTAGTAGTACTGCTACTGAAAAAAATATTATAAAGCTATTTTATAGTTTTATTATTTTATTTTTATTTTACAGTACTGTGAATTTCGTGCAATAATAATGAATGACATTCCTTTTTGTGTTCACAGTATTGTTCGTAAGGTATTCAACTGTTAGATTTTAAAATAAACGTAATTCTTGCTGTACATAAATCGAGTAGAAGCTTATCGAATGTCTATATTTGTATTAAATGAAGAAGGTTTATGTGCTTAATAAACTTATTATCTTCTACATTTTTAAAGCATACAATTACAATTTATATCTATAATTTCAGGAATAGTATAAATAACCTTTCTTCCAATAGAAATTACGTTCTTGTTTTTGAACGTGGCTCCAAATACTCTCTCAGTTCATCGCAAAATTAAAATAACTCTAAATTTTGCAATCTGAAATACGCAATGAAAACATCTTTTGGCAGAGCAAAAGCATCAACATATTTTCTATAAATTCGACCACCCGGTTCAGAGATCTATGACTACATTCTTCATTTAAATATGAAAAAGTCAGCGGCGAAAACACATACAAAACCATTGTCTACTTAGTACGTCAACTGTACAACCCTGATTGACGATGCGGCAACACTTTTTCGCGTGCTTTCGACAACTTCCGTACTCAGAGAATATAGGATGTCGGGCAGACCTGTTCTTCACTAGCAGCGACATCTGCTGGCCCACAACTTGCTGTCAACTCTGGTAGCGTAGAATAACCATCCTGATCCAGAATGTGGTTACAACTGCAATTAATCATTACCGAAATCTTAAAGAGTGAATTCTCAAACTGACAGTTTTCAAATATATTTTAAAACTCCTGTTAGTATGAAATATTGCAATATGAATACAGAATATCCGACAGTTTTATGCTATTCAAGTATGAGCATTTATAATTACAAGAATGAAAATGAAAATGTACACATCCACTGCCAAATTAGATGCAGGCTCATAAAAATCTGAATAAAGAGAATTATTGTTACCGCTAACCAACAGCAGAACGAATAAGGCAATCAAGTGCTCATAATCAAGTTCCACTACTGTAGCACTGGCAGCATGGTTACACATACAATTAGTACAAATATGAGTAAATTCCCCTCAGAATATTAATTTGCAAGACCATTTTTATCAGGTAGATAGCCCTAAACTGCTTTTCTTTAAAATTGTATACTCATTTCTGAATTAAAGAACATATTAAAATAATACCTCAGCATTCTTAAGCTTAACAACATAAAAAGTTTATCAATAGTTACATTTTGTAGTTATCAACACCATTAATTGAATTTCACTATGTCAAGAACTTTCTGTTAAAGGCCAGCAGAAGTTCTCTTTGAAATTAAGTTATAGTTATGATACATTCTAAAGCCTTAAAACAAGAATTAAATGGCATATAAACAAATATGCACATTCAGAAAATGCAAGAATATCATCTGATGCATATTAAAATTAGAATTTACAATACTATTATTAAAATCTAACTATTTACATGACTCTAAGGAGTAAATTATCCAGTTTTACGTAAGGGATTTCAATTCCATTCTTTAAATAGCAAGAGCAGCATGATGATGCACATTCTGTCTAAATGTTATTTCAAAACTTTTCCCTTGTATGCATATGTCTATTAGCACTGTACGACACTATTTAAGGAGCTTTTTCAGAAAATAATTATTGAAACATTATTATACATTTACTTTCATGAGAAAAAGCATAAGAAATCATTTTAAACATGACATATAAAATGAACATTTATATGAAAATTAACCCTGACTTGTCTTCTAGGGATTTCATAAATTTACAGCCAATAATAATTCACATAAGACATGCTCCAAATAATGTTTGCAGAAAATTATAAGATGGGTTAAAAAATTTAAATAAATGTGTGCCACAATTTAGTGTAAAAGTAAATTATAACAAATTATGTTCAAATATGCTCAAAATATGTTCACATTACAATTCTTTAAAATGTACCCTCACAAATAGCTCTCTGACAGGAATAACTTAATGTTTTAGGGAAAAGAAAGACCAGAAATCTCAATTTTGAAAATAATTTTAATGTAAAAAATAAAACCTTTAGGAATGCAGAATAAAATTGCTAATAAAATAATCGTCTTACAAATAGAACTACAAATATTAAGGCAATAACCCACATTAAGACTAATGACCAAAAACTGGGTGTTGACCCTGTTTCAGAAGTAAAACTTGGCCCTGAGTTATGTCGACAAAATAGTGCAGCTCCATCATGTGCAAAGGAAACAGTTCTTCTTCGAATAGGAACATTAGTCTGTAACTGTGCAGATGCTTCTTGCTCAACATTCTGACAAGCAAACTGTTCAGGTTCACACAACAATTCAGCTACATCATTTGAAAGTCCTACTTCGTCAGCTGAGCAGACGTCCTACAAAGCAGAAATTGATAATTAGCAATGAAAAATTCTCAAGTGCAAAGATACATTTCACATGCTCTAAATCAAACTAAATTCAACAATTCAGAAAAACTGAGGGATCTTTTTAAGATCAATGCACCGAGTTCTTTTAGAGAAACTTAGACCTACCTATTTACAACTTCACTGTAATGTCATACTTAAAAATAAATTTTAATAACACATTCATTTCCTAAAATTTATAGCACTTTTTTATCTGAACAATTTTACATGTTTATTTGACAATCAAGAACACTAAATGAATTGAATCAGGGATATTGAGATATGCTTTTTTTACATACATACACACACACATATACTATATATAGATGTAAAATACTTCCCTTTCTAATAATAAATTAATGGTAGCTCTTTAACTCCCCTCTTCATTCTAAAAGTGATCCATCACCCGATCTCTATTGCAGAATTATTCCTGGAAAGTGATGAAATTTTAACCCAGCATCTGAACATTATGTATCTGAAATTTAATTCTCTTAACATTCTAAAGCCGGTGGTATAGCAGTTGTACTGGGAAAATGACTTCCTTTAACACCAGCTGTGGTACAACTGTGGTACCAGCCACCCTCTCCCTATTTTAGAATCACCTATCTGTAGATCTGTGTGTGATCCATCGTCGCTGCTCAGAATAGCCCCTGGCTACTCATTGTTTCCCTCTTCTTATCAGTTTGGCTACATTTTGGCAAAAGCCGGTTTCGTCTCGTGACAATATACTTGAAAATGAAATAGAAGCTCTTTCTTAAACATTAGAGCACTGTCTCATAATTTTAGTGGTAACTTCTTTAGTACTAACTTTTGCTATGATTAAAGCATCAGCAATTTTGCACGCTGTTTAAGCTTATCAGATTTAAGGCTTTTTAATCATAGAAAATAAGATTAGATTAATATTTTAGATTTAATGCCCTTCTAGAAAATAGGTAAAACCACTTTTATCATTTAGTTCCTTTTTACACTTATGAATAATAAGATGTTACTTTACCCTTTTTTTTTTTTTTTTTTTTTTTTTTTTGAGTATAAAACCTTTAAGAATTCTTAACTCTTTCAAAGTGCTTCTATTATGTAGGCAATTTTATCTGATTTATCAGGAGATAAATAAGAGACAATTGCATGCATAATAGTTTTTGTAATTTTCATTCATTCACTGACTGATTTCAATGATTTCATTCACTGATTGATTTCAATGATTTTCATTCATTGTAAATTAAATAAAACCAATTTATCTTTAGACACTCTTTTAGGATGACATCTGCCAAAAAGTATTTAAATATCATTAAAGCTCATGTAACTTCTAAATTGAATCAAAACATCAGTTACTTTGCATAAAATTTCAGCCAGTTTTATTTGCTGAAATTCTTATACTCAACAGATAAAGGGAATTTAGACAAGCTAATAAAACATTTATCTTTAAAAAAAAGAATGTTATTTTGTTTGTAATAAGGTATATGTCAACTTGCTATTAAATGTTATGAGAATTAGGATTGGATTACGGAAAAGCACGCAAATGCTATCTGCTTAAGTGGGTGGATGCTTTCGTGTAAACCTCTTTAAGAGAAAATTGCCCGCATTTACGTTCCTGATGGAAAATTCTACATGTAATCAACCCGTTCTCCGGGTTTGATTGGACTAATTTTGTTTGCTTACTGAATTACATCAAAGCACACAACAATCACCTGTATAAGGGGAGGGATGCCTTCGCAGAGGACTTTCTAAGGGAAGCTGGCTTGTATTTACGTTACACAAAAACCATGAATGCAACCCTTTAGCCGGGAAAGAATAAATGAAAAAATAAAAGAATAAACGAGAAGATACTTTATGCAAAATTTGGCATAAACAGTTTTCTTAATTTTGCTTTAAAAATATTTCAGGGTAATCATTTTCATTACTGGAAGAAATATGAAAAACAGATTTAACTACATTAAAAGTGTCAACACCCAGTATGCCCTTATTCTTTTGAAAACATGAAAGATTAAATTAGTCATTAGCATTATTTTGTTAATGAAAATATGTTATTAAAAATCCAATTCCAACATACAGACTTTCAAAGCTAGTTCGTATTTATTATATTTTGTAAGATTTTCTTCTCATTTTCTAATTTGAAGTGTGAAAACAAAGTTACAAAATTCACAAAATATTGACAAGATTAATCAGAAATAGTAAATGAAATATAAACATTGCACGCATTTTGTTCTAAATAAATAGTGCACTGGATGCATTTCCAGTGCACTATTTATTTAGAACTTCATTTAAATGAAAGCAAAATAATCATCGAAAAAATCGCAAATGTAGCAACCCATCTACTATGGAACAGCCTCCGACAAACATGTAAATTTTACTGCATCCATGGAGGGGACTAACGACTTTTCTCATTAGGAAAATGTCAAAGAGGGGGCAAAAGTGTTTTGGATCGCACCAGTCTGAAGGCTATATTATGAAAATTTTGGCCAGGTTTTAGAAGGTTAATGTAAACATTTTTGTAATGTGATCCAAAATGTAACCTGTATAAAAAGGTCTGCTGTGCAGTCTTGCTCTTTTAGTCACCTTTTTGCATGATCTTTTGGTCGACATTCTTTTGCCACTGCTTTGGCCTACCCCATGCAGAGTTTACTTTCCGCTTTGTCCACTGTTAAAGATGATGTAAGCTGTAAAAAACTGTGGGGTGTATGTTGAACCCATAAATGATGCTTCTGAATGTGTTACAGATTCTGAATTATGTACATAAAGACTTGCACTATTATGAAAATTAAATTATGCATTCAAATCAGCAGCCATGTCTGCAAGTTTTTGGGTTTATGCATTCAGCTATCAAGCCAAGTTATTACAATGAGCTTCTTCCAGTGGCATAAGCTATGAAATATTGGTAGTGTTCATCCTCAGATCAAAATTCAGTGACTATTCAGGCTAGCTATATAAGGAAATATGTGATTTTCTATTACTGTAACATAAACACAGAACTTTTTCCTTAGAAAGTCAAGGAGTCATTCCTAAGTAGATTATCCTACAGTACTTAGTCTTAATTCACAAACTAATGTTACTTCTCAATAGTTCTTCAATTTATTTCTTAAACCTAGGTTCTTGATTGCGAGTTACAGCTTTATTATCAAGCATTGTAAGTTCTTTACACTAACTTCCAGTTGCTTTAAACCAGGTTTTCCTCAACTTTTTGGTGTGAAGGACACCATAATATTTATTAAAATTTTGTGGGACCCCATTATGCATAGCACTAATTTGACACCCATGTGAGTGAAACTGTCAATATGTTCACTTGTACTGGAATTACTATTGCAGTTTCAGGTCATAAACATTAATTTTTAATTTTAAGACAGAACAGTGTGAAAAGTTTAAATTAGTAAAAAACTTTAAAGTATGATACAATAATAAAAAATAAATTCAATTACTTGGGTAATTCAAACATAACTATAGTCTGTCTAATAAGCGTAGCATCTTGGAAGGTCACTATTGAGAAAAAATTCCACTTACTTCTTTCTAACAGTGCATTATGTGAGGATTAAGTATCAATGGGAAAGGGTGTGCCTTTTTATTTTTAATTATACTATCAAATCCTGGCAAAGCAGTCGATACCGCAGAATGAAGGACTTCTTTAATATTCTTTGCATTTGATCGACATTTTATGGTGATTAAAGATGAAAATATCTCGCACACATATGTTGTAGAAAATGTAAAAGAATGTTATGGCACTTTCAGAAATCGTTGGAAATTCTTTTGCGACTCTTAGTTAAAAATCTTCTACAGACTTCATATCAAAATTAATTTTAAACCCTGAATCATTTGACTACACAGCAAGTTCTTGTAATTTTAATAAAAAATTAGTTATATTTCCCACATTAATTCCGAATGGTTTCACAATCCATATTAGTTTTTTGGCACTAAAACTTGAAGGGGAATATTTCTCAAAGTTTTTCTCAAGACACTCAAGATATTCATTTATCACTTTTAACAACTTACCCTTTTGATGATCTGTTTCATCATTTTCACTTAAAAATTCACCTGTGTCAAACATTTCTAATGACCCCTTTGTCTACCATGAATCTCCATATGGTAATTTAAAAATTTTCTTTATCTGAGTATGAACAAGTTGTAACGTTTTCCTTGAAGTGACAAATTTAGCAAATTTAGTTTTCCAAATATGCCACTCAAATAACATAGTTTTATTATGGAATAATGGTTTAAAATGTGGTTATTATGGAATAATGATTAGAATTACAGTTCTTCTTGAAAGCCACCTTACCACTGCCTCTAACAATATACTTTTGTATTAAGAACCCGTCTTCACAAAGATTTGAAAACAAACGACTATTCAGAGCATGAATAAAGTTAACCATGTTAACACTATCTCAAAGCACAACATCTAACTGTGTTGATATTTTTTTTGGCCACCAGGGCCTCTCAACATATCATGCAATGACTAAATGTTATATGTTCATTGCCGCTGTCCTTTTCCTTGGGTGGAAAACCAATTTTTTCCAACCATCACTTTAGCATTGTCTGTGCATATGCCAATCCAATTTTTCCACTGCAAATGTTCTCCAATGAAAAATTCATTAACTTTTACTAAAATGTCCTCTCTTCTTGCATGTCCATCCAATGAGCAACAAAATAAAAATAGAAATATATCTAACATACACTAATAATTGAGCCAAGATGGTAATATCGGTTGATTCATTCAACTAGATTGCAAACTTTGGACTCATTTTGAGCCTTAGTTATTAGCTATGATATTGATCTTTATTAATTCCCGAAATTCACTTTGAAACAGTATCCTTGGATACAGGAATTTTACGGATTTCATCCTCATACTTTTTGCCCATGATTCGTTAAAATATTTGATAATAATTATTGTTAAGAAAATAAGGGAGGGCTTGTTTGAAACAATTAATAACTATAACTTCTAAAAATAAGTAATGTACTTGCTGATGAAATGAATGAAACAATGATGGCAA